CAACTCAGTAAAGTGACCCACGGCACTTCGCAAGAGCGGCTATCAAACAAAATGTGGACCAGTCATAGAGTCATACAGAGCCACTTTAAGGAAACAGAGAAATTAGGAGCAGGAGCAGGCTATTCAACCCTTTGATCCTGTTCCACCACTTAACAAGATCATGGCTGATCCTCTAACCCAACGCCATATTCCCGCTTTCTCTCCAAATCCTTTGGTGCCTTTAAAATCTAAAAATGTATCAATCTCTTTCTTGAATGTACTCAGTGATTTGGCCTCCCCAGCCTCCTGTGGTAGAGAATTCCACAGGTTCACTTCCCTCTGAGTGAAGAAATGTTTCCTCATCTCAGTGCTAAATGGTCTACCCCATATCCTGAGACTGTGTACCCTGATTCTGGACTCTGCCACCCAGGGCAAACATCCTCCCTGTATCTAGTCTGTCCAGCCCTGTTACAATTTTATACGCTTCAATCAGATCCCCCTCTCATCCTTCTAAACTTGAATGAATACAGGCCCAGTCAAACCAAACTCTCCTTATGGGACATTTCTGTTATCCCCGTTATCAGCCGCACACTGTCTATGGCAAGAGTATCCGTTCTTTAGGTAAGACCAAAACTGTACATACTTCTCCAAGTATAGCCTGTATAACTGCAGTAAGATATTCCTACGTCTGATCTCAAATGCTCTTGCAATGAAGGCCAATGTACCATTCACCTCCCTAATTACTTGCTGCAACTGCCTATCTGCTGACAGTGCCTGGTGTACAAGGACACCCAGATCCCTCTGTACATCCACACTTCCCAATATGTCACCATTTCGATAATAGTCTGCCTTTCTGTGATTCACACCAGAGTGTATCGCTTCACATTCAGCCACATTGTACTGCATCTGCCATGTCTTTGCCCACTCACTCAACTTATCTCAATTATCCTGAAGCCTCCTTGTATCCTCCACAAAACTCACAACCCTGCCCAGTTTTGTGTACTGATTGATTGACTGATGTCACATGTACCGAGATACAGTGAAAAGTGTTGTTTTGCGTGCTCTACAGACAGATCATACATAGCAAAGTGCATCAGGTAGCAGAACAGAGTGCAGAATATGGTGTATAGAGAAGGTACAGAAAGAGAGATCAGAATTAACATTTGAGAAGTCGGTTCAAATTTCTGTTAACAGCAGGGAAGAGGCTGTTCTTGAATCTGTTTGTATGTGTATTCAAACTTTTATATCTCCTGCCCAACAGAAGAGGGTGGGAGAGAGTATAACCGGGGTGGGAAGGGTCTTTGATTATGTTGGTTGCTTTCCTGAGGCAGCAGGAAGTATAGATGGAGTCAATGGATGGGAGGCTAGTTTGTGTGATGGATTGGGCTGTGTTCATGACTCTCTATAGTTTCTTGTGATCTTGGGAAGAGCAGGTTGCTATGATGCATCCAGATAGGATTCTTTCTGTGGTGCACCTATAAAAATTGGTAAGAGTCTGTGTGGTCATGCCAAATTTCCTTAACCTCCTGAGGAAGTAGAGGTGTTGTTGTGCTTTCCTGACCATCGCATCGACATCACTCTCTCGACGTTCTCCACCTCAGCACCATTGAAGCAGACACCGACCCTCCGCTTCCTGAAGTCAATGACCACCTTCATTTTGCTGTCATTGATGATCCATGCCGCTAAGCACTCTACCTGTTTCCTGTACTCTGTCTCGTCGTTGTTTGAGATCCAACTTAAAACGATGGTGCCATGAACAAACTTGTAAATGGATTTAGGGCGGAATTTGGCCAAATAGTCGTAAAGAATACAGTACGGGACTCAGTATGCAGCCTTATGGGGCTCTGGTGTTGAGGATTATTGTGGAAGAGGTGTTGTTGCCTGTTCATACTGACTGCAGTCTATGGGTCAGAAAGTCAAGGATCAGTTACAGAGGGCGGAGCTGAGAACCAGGTCTCGGAGTTTCAACATGAGTTTGTTTGGAATTATGTTGTTGAAGGCGGAACTGTAGTCAATAACTCGGAGCCTGATGTAGGTGTCCTTGTTATCCAGCTGCTCCAGGGATGAGTGTAGGGCCACTGCTGTGGACCACGAGCATTGGTAGGTGAATTGCAAAGGATCAAAGCAATTTGGTAGGTTGGAGTTGGTGTGATGTCATCAGCAAACTTGGAAATGTTGCATTTGGTTCCCAAATCCAGGCATTGTTATATATTGGGAATAGCTGGGGGCCAAGCACTGATTTCTGGGGTATTCCAGTAGTCACTGCCTGTCTCTAGAAAAAGACCCATTTATTCCTACCCTCTCTTTCCTGTCTGTCATCAATTCTCAATTAATGCCGATATATTAGTCTCAATCCCATGTACTTTAACTTTTCCCACTAACCTCCTACTGGGACCTTATCAAAAATTTTCTGAAAATCCAAATACAGCCCATCCACTGGTTCTCCCTTATCTAATCTACTAGTTACATCCTTACAAAGTAGATTTGTTAAGCATGTTTGTGTTTCATAAATCTGCACTGCCTTTTGACCAATCCTAATAATGTTTTCCAAATCTGCTGTCATCTTTTATAATAGACTTATGCGTGTTCCCCATTACTGATGTGAGGCTAACTGGTCTGTAATTCTCTGTTTTTCTCTCTCTCTTTTTAAATAATTTGCCACCCTTCAATCTGTAGGAACTGCTCCAGAATCAATCTTTAGAATTTTGAAAGAGGACTAGTAATGTATCCAATATTTCCACTTCTTTTCATACTTTGGGATGTAGATTATCAGGTCCTTGTGACCTGTCAGCCCTTATACCCATTAATTTCCCCAGTACCATTTTTAAAATAATGCTGATTTCCTTCAATTACAATCTCTCACTAGACCCTTGATTCCCTAATATTCCTGGGAAAATATTTGTGCCCCCTTTTTGAAGGCAGAACCAAGATATATATTCAATTCTTCTGCCATTTCTTTGTTGACCATTATACTTTCACCAACTTCTGACTGTAAGGATTTTGTCTTCACTAATCTTTTTCTCTTCTCATGATTAAAAACTCAGTTTCCATGTTCCCTTCAAATTTACTCTCATAATCTATTTCTCCCCTCGATCAAACTTTTTGTCCTCTTTTGCTGAATTCTAAAATGCTCCCAGTCCACAGGTTTGCTGCTTTTTCTGGCAACTTTGTATGTCTCCTCTTCAGGGCTAATACTAACCTTAATTTCTTTTGGAAGCTGCATTGGAGACACCTTACCTCTATTATTTTTGTGCCAGACAGGAATGAATAACTGTTGTAATTCATGCACATGTTCCTAAATATCAAACATTACTTATCCACTGTTAACCCCTTTAGTAAGATTCATAATTAATCCTTGCCACTCCATGCCTCACACCTTCAGAGTTCCCTTTATTTAGATTCAGGACCCTAGTTTCAGATTCAGCAACTTCACGCTCTATGTAATGAAGAATTCTATCATATTATGATTGCTATCCCCCAAGGAACCCTGCACAACAAGATTGTTAATTAATCCTTTCTCACTGCACAGTACCCAGTCTAGAATAACCTGTTCTCTGGTTGGTTCCTCAACATATTGGTCTAAAGCTTCCTCCACAATATCATCACAAGTTTTCTTTGACTGCCACACAAAGACAAAGACAGTCTTCTTCCTTTTTTTTATATAAACAAAACCACAAATGCATCTAATGTTTGCTTACAGCAATAATCGGGTGCTTCGTATTGAATTTCTGCCTCTCTATGTTAACGCTACTAGGGAAAGAGAGAGAATCTGTGTATGTGTCCATGTGTGCATGTGTATCTGTGCACGTCTGCTTGTCTGTGTGTCTGTTCATAAGTGTATATCTATCCACTTATCTGTACATGTGGGTGTGTGTATCTGTCTATTTGTGTGTATCTGTTTATGTGTGTGTGCGCCTGTTTGTGTGTGTCTATATGTCTATCTGTGTGTGTGTGTGTGTGTGTGTATGTGTATCTGTCTGTGTGTGTGTATCTGTTTCTCCATGTGTGTCTGTGCATGTGTGTGTGTCTGTTGGTTTGTATATCTGTTTGCATCTGTACGTGTGTGCATGTGTATCTGTCTGTCTATGTGTGTCTGTTTCTCTTTGTGTGTGTATCTGTCTGTTTCTGTATGTGTGTGTTTGTGTGTATTTGTGGGTGTGTGCATGTGCGTGCGTGTATGTGTGTGTCTGTGTGTTTGTGTGCGAATGTCTGTTTGTGTGGCTGTGCGTGTGTGTGCGTGTGTCTGTTTGTATCCTGTGGGTGTGTGTGTGTCTGTCTCTTTGTGTGTGTGTGTGTCTGTCTGTCTGTGTGTGTTGGTTTGTATCTGTCTGTTTGTGTGCGTGTGAGGAACAGTAAGAAGTGACTAACTGTATAAAATCTCAGTACAATGCTCACACATTCACACTCTAAACCTTCTGAAGAGTACAGCTGGTCAACTGGAGACAGCAGAGAATGTCTTCAGGCTTTGAGAATGTGCAATTTGCCTCAGTGATAAGTGTGTAATCTATGTGCTGACACACCATCCCAGTGTTTTCATTACACTGACACGTGACAGTACCCGTGTTACACCGAGGCCTGAGGGGAGGGGACCACAGGCCAGCAACACCTCGCAGGTGACTGGGAGACGGCGGTGGGGGTGGGGGTGTAGGGAATGTTACGATCCCCAGATACAGCACCCAGAGCAGCTCTCACTTCTACCTACTCTGAACCCTCAATCCACTAAAACCCATGGCCACAGGAACCTGTTCGATAGTCTCCCAAGCTTGGTCACAAGCAAGCTGCTCTCCTCTCTAGAAAGGACGCCTGGTGGAGAAGAGAGAAGACAAGGGGATGTTATGGCTGATGGGGCCGCAGGAGAGACCCAAACAGACTTTCATAAGAAGAACAGTGTCACTGGCAACAGAAAAATAAATGAAATAAGTGAGGATAAATTGAAAGGAAACGGAGTACCGTGGAATCAAACCCCGCGCTGTCAGGTGCAGAGAGAGCGTGTCGAGTGTCTGATGACGGATTCAGCTTACCTATCATATGGTTGGCCACGTGAACCTGGATGTCCCACTCGCACTGAAAGATCATCTGACATTTGATGCACTGGTACGTTCTCTTCTTTGGATGGGAAAGGGAGCGGGAGGAAGAAAAGCAGAAATATCAAACTGGGGCTCGGTGTGGGAAATGATAAAGCATTGTTTCAGCAGTTGAAAAAAGAAATTGCAACAGCTATCACAAATCTGTCAATACAAACCAAGCAAGGCATGCCGCTTGGGAGAGACGAGATCAGCATTGAGAAGATTTTTATGGATGGAGCTGGCATAGAGGTGTTGGGCCCAATAGCCTGTGCTGGACATCCTATGTCACTAATCTCAAAAGACCAAGCTGCCTTCAAGTGTAAAATTTGTTTATAAGGAATCCATGATACTTGTCTAAACCCAACCCAAACATGGTGGATGGCACGGTGGCTCAGTGGTTAGCACTGCTGCCTCACAGCACCAGGGGACCCAGGTTTGATTACAGCTGCGGGTGACTGTCTGTATAGAGTTTGCACATTCTCCCTGTGTCTATGCAGGTTTCCTCCCACAGCCCAAAGACTTGCAGGTTAGATGGTTAGCCATGGCAAAAACCCCATGTGGAGTGGAATGATGGGATGGGCCTGGGTGGGATGCTCTTTGGTGGGCTGGCGCAGACATGATGGGTTGAATGGCCTCTTTCTGCACTGTAGGAATTCTACAACCAGTGACGTGAGCAGCAGGCCAGTTGGTAATATTCTCTAGGTTCAAGTCCCAATCTTATTGAAACAAGCTGGATGGGCCAAATGGCCTACTGCTGCTCCTATTTCTCATGTTCTCCTGCCGACTGCTGTTCAAGCCCTTGGTGAAACCTAATGTTACCAATGCACGCTGGGATCGGGACTCAGTCTCGTATGAAAGTAAAACAGGGCCTCGTCCTGGTGGTGAGGGATGGGGAGGATTTAAAATTGAAACATTACTTGGATGTCGGCAAGGCCGCTATTTATTGGCTGAGTCTAGTCATGCCAACAAGGATCATCATGATCTGCTGGTTGTGGGTTTGATCCAATTCCAGAGTGCAATTCAGATTTCTTTAAAGATTCTTTCATGGGATGTGAGCATTGCTTGCAAACATCAGCAGTTTCCCTTTAAATTCCACAATCTGCCATGGTTAGATTTGACCACATGTTCCCTGCAGCATTAACCAGGGTCTGTGGCTTGGTAACCATACCACTACCATCGGCTCCCCGCTTAAATCTACAATGTTGGTGTGGGACTGAACAAACAAACCAGGTATAGATAGCAGCTTTTCTGTGCCTGATACACTGGTTGGAATTTCAGCATTATGGTAAACTGCTAGTTTAGCAATAACCCCTCCCAAGACTTGAATTCAAATCTCACCATAGAAGCTGGGGGATCTTCAGTTCAAATCAATGCATTAAATGTGCATTAAAGTAGTCTTCACATTAGCAGAAATCATGAAATCTGAAGAAGGGTCTAGGCCCGAAACGTCAGCCTTCCTGCACCTCTGATGCTGCTTGGCCTGCTGTGTTCATCCAGCTCTACACCTTGTTATCATGAAATCACTGTTTTGTTTCACCTATTCTCATCAGAGATACCCTTCATAGGTGTAAATCCACCATCCTTTCCCAATCTGGCCTACATGTAACTCCAGACCCTAAGCAACGTGGCTGCCTCTTTAAAATGAGGTGCAAATGAAACAAGGGTGATGTGAGGAAAATCTTTCTCACTCAGTGAGTAGTTCGGGTCTGGAATGCACTGCCTGGAAATATGAAGGCAGGTTAAATTGAGGCATTCAAGAGGGGTTTTGGGTGGTTATTTGGGTAGAAATGGTGTGCAGGGAGATGGGGCAAAGGCAGGAGATTGGTACTAGGGGATAGAACCAGTGCAGACATGATGGGCTAAATGGCCCCCTTCTGTGCTGTCACAATTCTGTGATATTGTGAAGTGACCCAGCAGCCACTCGGTCATACCCACACCCTATGGAACACCAGACAAACTGTAGCAGTTCAAGAAGGCAGCTCATCACCACCTTCTCAAGGGTAGTAAGTACTGACCCGGCCACCCACATCCCAGGAAGGAAATTTTAAAAAGCTTTTAATTCTGGCTGAGATTTTTTTTTTGCCTCAGCTGAAATCAAGGCGTCATGATGCAATTTGAACCAAGGCTCCCTGGATTACTAGCCCAGTTCAGAGGAAGGGTCATGAAACGTTAGCTCTGATTTCTCTTCACAGATGCTGCCAGACCTGCTGAGCTTTTCCAGCAACTTCTGTTTTTGTTCCTGATTTACAGCATCCACAGTTCTTTCGGTTTTTTATTTACCCAGCCCAGCAACACAGTCTACACCAGTGCATTGCCCGTTCCATCTGAGAGAATGGTCATAATAATAATAACATTCTCTGGTGTTTGTACAGGCCCCATAGACATCAGCAGGAAGCTGTGGATTAACAACCAGTCAGTTGGCATCTGGGAAGAGGAAACAGTTGTAGTCATAGAGTCATGGACTCATACAGCACAGAAAGAGACCCTTCAGTCCAACCAGTCCATGCTGACCATAATCCCAAGCCAAACTAGTCACACTTACCTGCCCTTGGCCCATATCCCTCCAAACATTTCTTATTCATGTTCTTATCCAAATGTCTATTAAACGTTGTAACTGTACCCATGTCCACTTCTTTGGAAGTTCATTCCACACACGAACCACTCTCTGTGTAAAATAATTGCCCGTCGTGTCTTTTTTAAATCTTTCTCCTCTCACTTTTAAAATATGCCCACTAGCCTTGAAATCGCCCACCTTGGAGAAAAGACACCAGTCAATCACCTTATCTATACCACTCATGATTTTATAAACCTCTATAAGGTCAGCCCTCAACCTCCTAAGCTCTAGGGAACAAAGTCCCAGCCTATCCAGCCTCTCCTTATAACTCAAACCCTCCATTCCCTGCAACATCCTGGTAAATCTCTTCTGAACCCTCTCCAGTTTAATCATATCCTTCCTATAACAGGGGGACCAGAACTGTGCACAGTATTCCAGAAGTGTCGCCTACATTCTGTATGACCTCAACATGGCACCCCAACTCCAATATTCAAAGATATGAGCAATGAAGGCAAGTGTGCTAAACGACTTCTTAACCACCCTGTCTACCTGGGCTGACTATGATGTTGTGTATATGTTATCTGACTCTTTTATAATCACCTTCCATTCCAAAGAAACATATAAAATAGGAACAGGAGTAGGCCATTCAGCCTTTCGAGCCTGCTCTGCCATTTAATATGACCATTGCTGATCACCCAACTCCGACTCTGTTCCCACTTTCTCTCCCATACCCCTTTGATCCCTTTAGCCCTAAGAACTATATCTAACTTCTTCCTGAAAACATTCAATGTTTTGGCTTCAACCGCTTTCTGTGACAGAGAATTCCACAGGCTCCCCACTCTCTGGGTGAAGACATTTCTCCTCATCTCAGTCTTAAATGGCCCACTCTGTATCCATAAGACTGTGACCCCCCCCGCCGGTTCTCAACTCCCTCGTCATCGGGAACATCCTTCCTGTGTTTACCCTGTCTAGTCCTGTTAGAAACGTACAGATTTCTATAAAACCCTTCCTTATCCTTCTAAACTCCAGTGAGTATAATCCTGACTGATCCAGTCCCTCTTCAAACATCATTCCTGCCATCCCAAGAATCAGTCTGGGCTAAACCTTTGTTGCACTCCTTCCATTGCCAGATTCCACTGTATCTGAAACCGAAAAGGATTTTATTTTTAAAAATTATTAGTCTAACTTTCCTCAGGCAAGGCATAGAGGAAAGCTTGTTAAGATTCAGAGGAACACAGTCCCTCCACCACAAAATTGTTAAAAATGTAACGTCTCACACTGGTGTGTTTTCAGTCGAATTCTACAAAATGGATCTTGCTCTGCGCACCCAGTTTCCATTTGGTGCAATCCAGCACATTTTGCACAGAACTCGCTCGTAAAGTCAGACAGGAAGATATTCACGGCTTGGCACCTGAGCAAACATTAACTGTGCCTCAGTGCCAGACATCTCTTTGCACATTACAGAGAGGTTTCTGTCCTGCTTACACAACCTGTTTATCACCTCGCCACTAAACTTATCACCAGAAACTCAACTTGGCAAGTCTGACGGAATTCAAAATTAAACATTCCATTCCTATTTCTCCCTCACCTTCCCCCCTCTCACCCACCACCCACCAAACCCACCCCATACAAAACTAACCTCCCCAACCCCCACCAGGCTCCCAGGGTAAATGAGCAATGAGACACGGAATCCAGACTGAACAAAACAACAGTCTCTTCTCAGTCAGACCCACTGCCCTACTCACCAACCCCTCAACCCAAAACACACACACACACACACTCACACACACACACACACACACACACACACTTCAGACTATCCGTCCCTCCCTCTCACATTGGATCACCTCTCATGTTCCAGACCTGGCACCAACAACTTGGATTTACCTAGCACAGTTTAGCTAGTTCTGGTCGCCCTTTTATAGGAAGGATGTTGTTAAACTTGAGAGAGTGCACAGAAAAGATTTACAAGGACGTTGCTGGGTCTGGAGGGTTTCAGCGAGAAGGAGAGGCTGAGGGGTGATCTTATAGAGGTTTAATAAATGTTGAGGAGCATGGATAGGGTGAACAGCCAAGGTCATTTCCCCAGGTAAGTTCTGAGGAAGGGTCACTCAACCTGAAACAATAACTTTGATTTCTCTCCACTGATGCTCCCAGACCTGTGGAGCTTTTCCAGCAATTTCTGTCTATGATTCTGATTTATAGCATCTGCAGTTCTTTTTGTTTTGGTTTTTCCTAAGATGGGGAAGTCCAAAACTAGAGGGGCTTAGGTTTAAGGTGAGAAGGGTAAGATTTAAAAGGGACCTGAGGGGTAACTTTTACATACAGGGGGTGATGCATGTATGGAATGAGCTGCCAGAGGAAGTGTTGCAGTCTGGTACAATTACAACATTTAAGAGGCATCTGGATGGGTATATGAATAGGAAGGGTTTAGAGGGAAATGGGCCAAATGCTGGCAAATGGGACTAGGTCAGATTGGGATGTGT